GAAGGTGATGAACTGAGCTGCAGTTTTATTTGTAGAATAATTTTACATTTAACAACATGGTTTTGCATGGCTATATAATACTGTTGCAGCCATACATTTACTGCAAATAAGCTGAAGAGGGAAAATGTAAAAATAAGAACTTAAAAACTGTGCAGAGAAGTTACCCAAACCACACTTTTAAGTGTTTATGAAGACACTTGAATTGAGACGAATGAATTTGGGCACTGCTCACATGAACTTTATAAAAAAGGTAATAATAGTGTTTTGTACGCTGTTAATTATAATCCATTTAAAATACTTTATTTTTCTGTATTGCATACAGATACGTAGAATCTTCTTAAGATGCATGGTTATGGCAGTTTATGATTAACATCTTACATCATTGCCACTGTGTCGTACAGTATTGATAGAAGAGTTTGAAAGTGCTTTTTTTGTGAAGGCTTTATAACAATTTTGCACACTTTGTATGTTCTGTCTGAAATGTAACTGTAATCACTAAAGTCATGTAAAGGGGCATGTCAGTAAGGACTGCCCCACTGTGTTAACTGAGCTCAACATCTAAATGTACTTCAGAACACTTTTGCTGTTTTCAACATTTTTGATCTGTATTTAGATTTAATGATCAGTGAGTAGCACTTTTGGTCCTAACATGCTACTGTCCTACAGATACACAGCTTAGCCAGCTCAAAAGGAAACACAGGTATTTAGAGCACTTAAAGTGTCATATTGGCTGCTGCATATTTTGCACCTGATATTTTCAATGGAATAAAGTTGGAATTTTAAAGGCTGGTGTGTAATAGTGTTTAAGACCTTGCTTACAATGAAGCTCAACTTCCTTAAGCTTAGTCTGCATGTCTAACTAACTTAATCGCTATGCTTAGTCTGAAGGTCTGACTCCTGTATGATAGCAAGGCCAAGTGTGAGTTAACTTTAGCTCTGCATGTTTACGCTTTGGTAGTAATCATATAAATCATTTAAAGATCACATGAAGTTTTGTGATGTCACAAAAATGAATGCATTTAGGTATATCCACCTATTCAGGCCCTCAGCAGTTCAGCCCCACCGATTCACTTTAAAGTGTTTCAGCTTGTATTTCAGGCACAATGCAGGGCAGCCAATCAGAACAGAGGTCATTTGCAGTCAAATGCCAAAGGTGGGCCACCCTGGTGTAATTACATGTTTTGTTGATTTTCTAAGTGAAAATAAGTTAACTCATCCTCTACGGAGAACAAACCTGCACATTTTAAAGCACAATTACTGTTAATTTGATTGATTTAATATACTGAAAAAGTTATGTGCAGAACGTTATAGCACATTAATGCGGTGTTCCAACTTGTACATATGACTTTGTCTTAAAGACAAACAGACAGCCTGTTCAAGTCTAAGGGATAAAGAGATATTAGTCAATAAAAATTAATTCTCATTGTATTTTGTACATAAAGCTACACAAATGTCATACAAAAATTGTCTTGAGGTTACATTTAGAAGTGAAAGAATACAAGGAGAAAGTGATAGGTCCTTTTCACAAGAAACAGCAGTGCATAAACACTGAATGAAACAAATTACTGCCTGACGATTATTACCCTCAGACATACTGGCGTTTATATCACTTCATCTCATTATGGAAGGATGTGTCACGTTATCTTTGTCATAGTTGCCAAGACTGAAATTTGAGGATGTGTCCAGAATTGTAGAACACCAAAAACACAACAATGTGGGAGACCAAGCTGAGTAAAAGATATGTTTTGTGGAAAAAATCCTTCACAGCTAGACTGAATAGAGTACAATAACCTCAGTGAATGTCTACAGAGTGATAAAACAATGAATAGGTGAAAATAACTATAACAAAAAACTAGACTAGCCATGTTAGCTGAAGATGTTGAAGATGTTTTGCTTTGAGCTCGAACATTTGGGTTAGTTGTACATGCTCTTTCCAGTCGTTGTTATTGTTGTTTTTCAGTACTTCTGACAGAAAAAAAACACAGAAATGTGAAATGGACCAGTGAGAGAACTTAGAGAGAGTAGAATTACCACTCTGTAATGTTTTCCGGGTTTCTCAAACACTAGAGGGCACTCCTGAGCAAGTCTGAAATGAATGGGATAATATGGAGCATTTGAGCAAAATCATAGTTTGTAAATACCTAAACCTTTTTAAGATAAAAGAATGCATTCATATCCTGAACACAGAACAGCATAAAACATTTACATTTTTTGAGCGCTTTTGAACTCGAGTTGTAGGAGTTTAAAATGGTGCCTCGTCTACATGCATGACGTCAGTGAGCTGAGCTCAATGAGCTGCTCTGGTTGCCAAACAATCAGCACTCAGCAGCAGTAAATGCACTGTACTGCACAAAACCCATTTGCTGTAGAAAAAGGAAACATACAGGTAGGTTTTCTTTGCTTTTTTAGTGAAATACATCTTTCCACTTTCTAAAATTAAAGGAAAGGTCTGGGCGAGTGATTAGAAACTATTTTAACTTTTTGTTTTTTGCCGTTTAACTCTACTCACCCCCATTCATTGAGGACTCACTCGCGGGTGCCCTCTGCTGTTTTGCAGTCCTGTTTTTGAAATAACATGGGAAATAGGAAGCGGCCAGGCTCCTTATAAACGGTCTCTGGGCCTGTCATTACCCGATTTGTACCACACACGTGCGAAAATGTATGTCTTCCAACCCGATATGGACTACACATGTGCAGGAACGTTGTAAAACGATATCGGAAATGACATACCTTTGCCGCGCATGCGTTGTCCAAATCTATCTAAAATTTGGACAACGCATAAATTTAGGCCATGTTGTAACTTACTAGCGCTGATGTAGTCTCTCTTCCTGGCTGGAAAAAATGCCGCATCACTACATACTCAATTTGACCATGTAAAATGAATACCTTTGATTCAAAGTACATGATATGAACAACAAAACCACAGAGAAATGGAACATTGTAACGTGTCAATAGAATTCTACTGAATATGGGGAGGTCCACTTAATATATAAATACACACACACAAATAAGGAAGTTAAAAAAAACAGAAATTAATCATATTAATATCATGCAATTTTTACTAATAATATCTGTAATAATATCTGTACGTATGCATAGAAGCCATACAGCTGAGAGACTTGTATGTCATTGGGATCTAGAGGAAATGCACCACTGCAGATCTTCCATTATGTGAGTAATTGTGTTCTGGGAAAAACTGAATTGGATTACTAAGCTGACTCCAACCTCTGCTGCTTTGAAACCGATTCCTACACGTGATTCCAGAAAAAGTTCCACAAACCCAACAATTTACTAAAGCAAGGCAAGAAGATGCCAACATGCAAAACTTTCCTCTGCACAGTGTTTTGTTCTGTAGCCCTGCCCAATGGAATAAGGAAGCAGTTAGGAAGAGATGGATAGGAGGAGATCTGGGTCCCCTGTGAAGCTTTAATAAACTTGAACATTCCGCATTTGCAGCCCTGTTTCAGAGTTAGATTTGCTTTTGTGTTAGTTTCTATTTAATGTGAAGTACGGCAAAGATCAAATGTTTGCACTATTACTGAAATGTAAACACACACAGTAAACGACTGCTTTGAGTACCATGACGAAATCTCCACAGGCCTCAATTATATTAGGATGACATTTCCTCAAAAAACTGTTTTTGAAAATAATTACCAGAACTTGCCAGGAGATTCTCTAAAATCATACGGCTTTTTTTCTTGACCTATATAACTTGATGGTAAACATGGGAAAATCATACTAGTGGTTGGAAAAGTAAAGACTGCAGGGCGGCACACAGGCAGTAATCATGGCGGTACAGGAACAAACACTCAGCACTAGACTGATCAAAACAGGGGTGTGCTACACCAGATGATGATGATGATAATAATAATAATAATAATAATAATAATAATAATAATAATAATAATAATAATCCAGATTCTGCAAAGAAGCCCCTGAGGCAATCTAGAACCTAGTTACAGACTGCAACATGCAGGCAGTAACAGTCTAACACTGAAAAGCACAGCCAAGTGGCATGGATTGTATACAGGAACATCTGCTAAGAATATGACTCATAAACCCAAGCTGGAAAAGTGGCTCCAACAGATTCTAGGAGAAACCAAGTTCAGTCCAGAGGAACACAATTGTAGAAATGTCTAAAAAAAGCTGTAAATATACTGTTCCACACTGTCCAAGTAAAAGATACAACCCACAGGAAAAAGGGTGAGATGGAATACAAGCTGGCTATTAAGAGTGAAGAAAATACTATGAAATTAGGAAATGATAGCACAGAATAATACAGTGACCAAAAAACATGGCAAATTAAAACTCACATTTGAATTCTTTAAGCAGTCCCCTTTGCTTTAATGCAGCTTTGAAGACCTTTGGCATTTTCAAGCAGCTTCACAGGGAGCAGCAATATCATTTTTATTTTGGTTGATCAGTGTTGCAATTTAAGATTTAATTAATGTGAGCTAGGGATGTGCTCTCGTGCTGTATTTCAGTGCTTCTGCTACACCTGTAACAAAATGTCATATTGCTTAAATATGTATGACTGTGTTAAATAGTCAGTTGCCTCTTACTTTTAATTTAACTTTTTTTGATTCACGTTCTTTCAATAGATGACTTTTTTGTGTTTGTTTAAGAATGTAAAATCCCAGTTTGGCCCATTGAAGAGCAAATAATATTTATTTTGTGATGTTGCATAAATAGTAAGCATGCAAGTGTATTTCATGTGCTCACTTAGTTCACAAATTAATAAGGGTAAAAAGGGTAATAATTCCCCCCCTAAAAATAAAAATAAATAAATAAATAAAATCTTAGCCACTGGCCAATCTGGCTGTCAATAAACCAGAACTGGTTCCCCGCTACAATTTTGTTTATATTTTTGTTCCATGTAGTTTTGAAAAATGTTAACACACTCCATGGCCAGCATGACAAAATATGAATGTAAAGACATAACAAAACTGTCCAGAAATTGTTCATTTTTGGAAAGCGTGTATTTGGCATTTCACAAAAGTGTTCATAAAGGCCAACAGACAAAATACAGGATATTATAAATCAATCCATAATGTACGCTTCAAACAATGCTCATCATTCAAAGCCCATGAAACATATCTCTGGTCCATTCTGTAAGGCTGTCAGGGTCATATACCTCAAAGTCCTGGGATTCACCTTTGTGCATTCTGAGAACGGAGTCTCATGCTTTGCTTCTTCTGCCTGTACCGTGTGGCAGATTTCTGATCTTCCTTAGCTTGTTCTTCAAGGAAGAGGAGGAAACTGGAATGGCTGGAGATGTACACAGCTTGAGGTGGTGCCAGGTTTGAGGCTTTATATGAGAGTCCAGAGAGGCAATGAGTTCCTTAAGAAAACTAGGAGAATCATAGGAGCCAATCAGTTATATTCACTCTGGTCACTTCATTCTTCCATTGGGTCCAAACCTCCGAAAGCAGCCTGTGAAGAAGAAAAAGAAAAAACAATACTGTAGCACATATATAGCTCTCTTTGTAGGAGATTGTCATGCAATAAATCTGTTACAATAATGCTAGTTGACAGATCCAACATAGGAGACTATAAATTAAACCACTGCATGACACATTGCTTGATCTTACCTTTGAAATCACCAATGCAGTTTCTATGAGACAGCAGACCCCAAAGAAAGGCTTCCATTAGCCTGGCCAAAGCATGAACTCACAGGGCTTCAAACTACAGTACCAGTCAAAAGTACACTTGCTGAAAACTAGGTAGGTTTTTCAAAAATGTTGTAATTTTTGACAAATATGTGAAGACAGGTTACAATATCCACATTATCAAAAATAGTGTTCAAAACACTGAAAGCTGTCACTAAATTGAAGATTCCTTTGCCTTAACAGTTTCAGAAACATGAGGCACTCGATTAACAAGTGCTATGGTATTGAGATCACGAGGCCAGGCAGGTCGGGTCATTACTTTGAGTTATTCTTAACCTTCTTTCTTTGCGGGATAGTTATTGCTTAGTTTTGAGGTGTGTTTCAGGCTGTTATTATGCTGAAGAATAAAGGATTACCCACAGTTCTGCAAACCACAGTCCTGATGAAATGGCAGAAATGAGAGGTATATGATTACCCTTCTGTAGACTAAAACTCCACAGACTAAGAAACAACTCTAAACAGCACACTGTAGACCACGGCACTGCCTGGGAACTGCACCTGGAAAACGCCTGCTCACCCACACCCACTGTAGGTCTTCTAAACACAGTATATAGAAGTCAAAAGTTTGGACACACCTCCTCTTAGAAATACTTTCTAGTATTCTTAGTAGAAAGCATCAAAACTATGCAGTAACCAAAAAAGATGCTAGATTCTTCTAACATCCCTTTACACTATTGGCACCTCTAATATTTGACAGACACATTTCAAGAATATAAGCATACATTTTTGAATGTCTGTAATATTATTTTTGTAATATTATTTAAAATAATCCACCAGGTGTGTCCAAACATTTGACAGGTACTACATATGTCAAACCCAATTATTTCCTAAGACTTGGAATTTTCACTCCTGCGCTTTCTAGCTTCTGTACCGTTTTGACCTGAAGAAGTCTTTCTCGGCTTCTGCCCTCTAGATAAGCCAGCTTCACGCAATCTTCTTTGGATTGTTGATATTGAAACTTCTGTTTTTCTAGTCGCGTTTAGCTGTGCTTGTATTTGAGGGGCAGTTAAGTCACCATTTTGCTCATATGTGACTCGAATAAACTTGTTCTCCGATTCTGAGGTCACTTTTGGCCTCCCTGACCTCGCTCGGTCCTCATGAGTACCGGTTTCTTCAACTCGTTTGATGGTCTTAGATACAGCATTCACAGAAACTTGCAGAGTTTTTGCTATTTTCCTTAAAGACTGACCTTCCTTTCTTAGCTTAATTATAGACTCTCTTTTCTCACGGCTTAACTGAGCATGTTTCGCCATTTTCTCTTCCTTCACATTCAGGATAGTCAATGGTGTGTTTATGCGGCAGATATTTTTAGCAGTGAACCTTCACCCTGTATAGTAACTGCCAGATAACTTGGAAAAGATTTAAGAAAGGCAACTGCTGCTGTTTCTTTTTGGAGCTTCAAGGGGAAATCCCCTTGCTTTCTGTGTCCATTTCAGAGAAATTCACCATTTTTAAGTTAAATTTTTAACTCACTTATTGATTATCGGCTCATTTAAACACACAATGAAATTAAGTGATTATACACAGGTTTCTAGTTCAAGCAATAATAACTGTTTTGATTGGGTGCTGAAACTTTTGACTGGGACTGTATCTTCCAGAATAAAGCCGTGGAATGATAATCTGATGTCATCACAGCAGAAATGAGGGTTGCAACAAAGAACCTGAGGGGAAAAGAACACAAGTGGTGACATTTCTTAACTCTTAAATTTCCATTTCTTCTGGCACCCTTTTGTTCTTTGAGTGCACCTCATAAGTATTTGTGAAATGATCTGTAACACTTTGTACTCATTTAAAAACTACACACAAAATAACTGCTTAAATGTGGTTCTCCTGGTCCAGCTAGTTACTAATCATTGGGTTAGGGCTAGTGTTTCACACAAATATTCCTCTTAACACAAATGTAATTAATCAGCCAAAACATGTTCGGAGCCTGAAGTTTGCTTCATTCATTTTGCAGTGGAGCTACGAGACTAAACTAGCTAACAAGTCATGGAAGCGTATGACCACCGACCAAAGTACCGTCCAAACTGCATGCCTACATCACACACTTGCCTCAAACTGTGGTGAATTGTTAAAGGGGAACTTCACCTATATGTTTCAATTTTTCTGCTTGATTAAATGTTTAAGATGTTTAAGACAGTGGTTTGATGTGAAATGCTCTGTTCTATAAAACTCAGTCAAAATATTTTGAAGCAGTGGTGACAGGAACCAGATCTCTGAACAGTTTAATGTCTCTAGAATGTACATCACAGGACGTTTTTACATAAATCTGTTATGAATATTCTGCCTGATGCCCAAGACATTTTTACAGTAGTTTTGAGAGCAGTTTTTGGCCTAAATGCATTTTTTTTAACGTGCAGTGTTTTAAAACAAAACAGACTCCATGACATTGCACCTTGCTAATAGGTGGGGTATAAGCACGGGTACAGGAGGTCAGACAGCCCTACTTCTTTCATAGGTGCCAACAGTGTGGGAATAATATAGCTCAAATTATGAGTTATTCACAGTTCTGAGCACTGATTTCATGGAAATGGTAATTCCATGTAATTTTTATCTATATTAAACAAACCATGTACAAGTACACCTTCTGATTGTATTTAGCAACCGATTGACAAAACTATTTCACATAATGCACATGCCTTCAGCCCAACACTGCTCTGACACAGTATTCAGCAAAGGGTATGTTTAGTGTGATGCACACTGTGCCTCTGCACCCCTTGCACGTTAGAAAAATGGGTCACACATGAATACTTAATGGAAAGCACATGAACACGTGGACAAAGTACACAACTTTCAAATTCACAACTTTCGCTGAGTATGGTACAAACATAACCTGTGCATCGCATAAGTTTGTCCCAAATGCATGCCTTTAATTCTCAAGGTCTCTTGCGGTAAACCAGGACAGTCCATTCTTATCAGCACATGTCTGGTATGGCTGCAGGTTTCATTCCAATAAAGGTGGAGCTCACATTATCTGTTGTTGAAGACTGAGACCAAGTGATTCAATCAGGTGTCCTATACCTCTGCAACCTTTGCAAGTATTATGACAACATAAAAGTGCAGACTTGGAGGAGGACAGCAGGGCTTAGGGTGCGATTTGGGACAGGCCACATGTCTATTAATAAAAACAATGAATTAATAAAAACATAAAGGAGGCGGTGCTGGGGTGGAGCTGTGTAGATATTGGTCTCTCAGCAGGGTTTACAACATCAAATAGCTGAACTGATTTCACCAAGACTGTATTATTACTTACATTTCCACAAAACTGTGGGACCTTTCCCATAAACCAGAGGTGCAGTCCGGCGAGGCACGGCCCGGTTTATTTATTTACTTAACACCTGCTGCTCCCTTTACTTATTAGCCACATTAGCCTCGTAGCTCCAGAGGAAAACTAGCTAGATATGCCAACACCTCAGGTAGCAAACACCGGGTTTTATCGACTGTATATGGGGTAAGAAGAAAACTCTGTACATTCGTTACATTTTTGACTGAACTATTTCTTGAAATCACAGCATAAAAGGCACATAATAAAACATACTTACACTTTTACGCAGTGTACATAGTGAGCCAGCGCGTATACGGAGCCGCCGGCAGCTGTTAATGCTGCAAATGTTCAAAGGAGCATCGCTCCTGCGCGCGGAGAACAAAGCGCGTGAATAAATAACACCGCTGCGCGAGGACGATTCCTGCCACGACTGCGGCTTCTTTTAGGTTCAGAGGCGGACTGAACACCAGTCGGCGTATTACTGCCACCTACAGTGCGGAGGTTTAGAATAGCCTCGAATGTGATGCACTAGGTGTCCAAAAAACCTTTCTAAAGAGTGAATATGGAGCCCTGCTTGTGACATCCCGTATAAACAAAATCAATGCGTGGCCACAACTTAGTAAGGTATGAGAATGAGATAATTAAGTGGTGGCCACGACTTAGTACGGGATGGGAACGAGATCATGCCTTGTTAAGCTGTGGTCAGGGCTTAATTATTTTATTTATAATTATTATAATTATGTCCACACCATTCTAAGTCATGGCCACACATTATTTTCCGTATTCGCTCATTATAAAGCATGTTTACACACATAGTACTACGGAGCCCTACTGGCGGCATCCTGTATACATAAAAATAATGCGTTATCACGCTGTATTAACGCGTGGGAACGAGATCCTCATGCATGACCAGGACTTAGTAAGGCGTGGGAACGAGATCAGGCCTTATTAAGTCGTGGCCGCACATTAGGATCTCATTCCCATGCCTTATTAAGTCGTGGCCACGCATTAGGATCTCATTCCCATGCCTTACTAAGTCAGGGCCACGCATTAGGATCTTGTTCCCATGCCTTACTAAGTTGTGGCCATGCATTAGGTTCTCATTCCCATGCCTTACTAAGTCATGGCCACACATTAGGATCTCGTTCCTATGCCTTACTAAGTCATGGCCATGACTTAATTATCTTGTTCCCATGCCTTACTAAGCCGTGGCCACGCATTATTTTTATTTGTACAGGATGTCACCAGGAAGATTCCACACTGCCAACAGAATAGAATTGAGAAGCAATTCATGAGCCTGTAAGGCAGGGGTCCTGGTCATGGAGAGTTCAGATCCACACCAGTCTCTAAAATTCAGATGCCTTTGAAAGCCTACATTACCGGTATTGGGTGTTTGGACTGGAGCTAAACTCTTTTTCCTTGCTTCCAACACACCTGACCCAAGGGCTGTCAGCTCCCTGACATTATTGAGTTAAAGTGGTGGCATAAAAGCACTAAACTGCTGAATGCAATCAAATCCTCACAGATGTGTTCCAACATATAGTATAAAGTCTTCTCAAAAGAATAGAGGCTGTTACTGCAGCAAAGAGGGGACCCAGACAGAACCTTCGCTTTGTTGACCATATTGATATTTATTCGCTCATAATTATGTATGTATTAGGCTACATAGCCTACATATATTATAGACACATGTTTACTAGTTATTTATTTAATCAAGGGTTCTCACACATATTCAAAACAACAGCTGTCATGCCTTCTAGTGGGTAACTGGAAAAAATATTTCTATTTTTTCTTATTAGAGCTGTGCATCTTGGTCTTTCAGAGACAGTATATCTGTGGTATTTTAAAGATCTAACATTTAAAAACATATATATATATATATATATATATATATATATATATATATATATATGAATTATATTCATACATTCTCTCCATAACATTTTAAAAATGTTGATTAACCAGAGCCTGTCCACAGATTTTATAATATAGGTGTATGAAAGTCATCACACACATAATTAGCACACCACAAGGAATGATGTGGTAAATTATTCGTATTAATTGAATATTAGAAAAATTATAATTAAAAATGTACATATCACTCTTAAAGGTAACATAACAAGAACAGCCTGTTTCCTGTATAAGAGATAAAGCAAGGGGAGAAAATGATTGTGTTAAAATGATCAATAATGATGACTGTTTTGAATACAACAACCAAACAACAGCGCAAGCCAGTAGCAAGTGAATACAATAGGAATTTTTGAATAAAAATAATAATAAATGTAGGATATGGGCCCTTTAACAAGAATACGTCGACTAAAATAAGCACAACATAATCTCAAAAAGAAACAGTAAAACTTGGAATAGTAGCTAAAAAAAAGTGATGAATTTTTCTGTAGGTCTGACAGAACTCATTTCAGGAGAGAAACACGTGATGAAAACACACACGAACTTTAATAATAAGAGTACGCAGTAAAACTGAATACAGTATATAAGGATAAATACAAAAACAGGGAGACTGAGAAGATGAAACAGTGAACTAACAGCAACAGTGTGAAACTGGATGGCAAAAGATAAACTGACACTTGATTATGAACTAAGAGACAGTATAGGCCTATGTGATAAAACAGGGGTGTCCAATCTTATCTGCAAAGGGTCTGCAAAATCAAGTGGTCTTAGTAACTGGTGACCTCCTGCTTTGTTGGAGTGAAAACCTGCAGCCACACCGGTCCTTTGTGGACAGGATTGGACATCCCTGATCTAAAGGTTTAAGCGGGCAAACAACAGCAGCAGATTCTGAGATAGAAGATCAGCTAAGCTGTAGTAGACACATTTAACAAGACACTTACATAGCCAGACATGCTAACATTGGGGAAGGCAGAAGGTAAGCAGAGAAACTACACAGTTACGTTTGAGATGGCGTGTGGAAAAGGTCATGTCTTCAGTCAAGTCTGCATGTCTAGAGATTGTGGAGAAAGTCTTATGACCCAACTGTCCACAAGCTATCAGTGGAGATCAAGGAGACAGTCCAGATAACTGAAGTCAGACATTTGAAGCTGGAAGGAACCGTGGCTGGAAATCTAATGCACAACTCAAAGACGAATTTGAGTTTTTCAGATTTATACAGTTAAGAAATGGGAGGTGTCCTGATTCAGAGGCTGCAAATTGGTCAGCTGTCCAGAGAGTTGTACTGTGTTGAAATTCTTGTTCACACCTACCAGAGTAGGCAACATAAGGAAACATCCAGATCATGTAACTGTGGTGTTTTACATTCATGAAACCTTTTCGAAAATTTCTTACATGACTACCATGCATGACACCAACCAGGACACAGCTAAACGATGTCATAAGTAGTCCAACAAATCAGATGAAATACACATTCATGAAGCATACAAATATCATACAATCATATTTGATGTCTCAGTATGCTTTAGCTGTCTTGTGAACGTCCCAGTACTAAACGTGTGAGGGAAAATGTCTTTTTAGACATTATTCTGTGGCTTTGTGGTGAACTCAGTCTGTGTCATTGCATGCTACTTGCCTGGTGTACTTATTTTAGATGTGTCCTTAATTCAGTGAACTGGCCTCTTCATGTTGTCCATTGCTGGAATATCAAAGTTAACTTTTAGACAAAAGGGAAATAATCTCCTTTTTTGGTGTGCCCCGGGGTGAACCACAAAGGGTGAGAAGTCTATGAGGGGTTTGGGCTGAGCTCCTACTCTCCATGCTACAGGCCAGACCACTTTGGGTTCTCTTGCTCCATAAACCTTGTCCAGCAGGTCAGGTTTTCGCCACTAGCTCCCTGTTGCTTTGCTTCACCTCCACGCATTCCGACAACAGATCACTCTGCTCTGCTTCTTCTTCCGCCTGTGTCACATAGCAGCTGTCTGATTCTGTCTTCCTAAAGTTGTTCTTCCAACTTGAGACAGAGCAAGGAGAAGGAACTGGAGAAGATGTTTCAGACTTAATCTCCATCTCAAGACACAATAGACTAGTTCAGCCACAGATGATCTACCAGGGTAGTTAGCAAAGGTAGTGGATGCAGAAGTCGACTGCTGCTTAGCAACAGTGCAGACTGTGAAAGGCTTGTGAGAGTACATGGAATAGTTGGAAAGGGACACAGACGGACTGAGAGGGCATTTTCAGGATGGAATACGGGACCCCAGAGAGACTTCCTCAAGGGAAAGGTCACAGGAGCCAATGAGTCCAAAGCTCTGAAGGCATTCTCTGAAGAAGAAGAAGAAAAAAAAACAAAGTGGCACATACACAACATCCTTTGAAGGAGATGAGAAAGTCATGTAATGAATGTGTTAAACAAGAATGCTAGCTGACAGATCTCGTATATGAGAGTACAAATTAAAGCATTAAGAGAGTAAATGAACTGAATAATCTCACCTTTGATGTCATGTGCAGTTTTCTAAGAGACAGCTACAGCGGGCCCCTAAGAAAGGCTTCCATCAGCCTGGCCAAAGCATGAACTCAAAGACGTGGCTGTCTACTTCAAGAAGCATGACAGTACAGTACCAGTCAAAAGTACACTTGCTAGATATTGTACAGTGTAAGTTTTAAGTTTATTTCAAACATTGTACAGTATAGAAATCATCAGAGGTATTCAAAGTGGTGAAAACAGTATTGAAAACTGTGCCTAAATCTTGGAAAAGGCACCTTTTGCATTCAGTTGAAAAATGATACTGGATATTGCAGTCCGGAAACTAGGCAGGCCAGGTCATTACTTGAAGTTATTCTCCATGTTCTTTCTTTGCCATACTAGTAAGCTATTATTTAATTTTGAGGTGTATTTTGTGTTTTCAGCATGAAAAGATGAAAGGACCACCCAGTAAGCACCGAGCCTGATGAAATAGGTGACCCTGTCTGAAGTATGATATAATAACCATGTTCACTGAAAAATGCCTTTAACCACCAAAGTCATTGCACTGCTACCTCATTTTCACCAACAAAGGTGCCAGGGCCTGAGCTCGAACCATTTCATGCAAATTAAAAAAAAAAATCTGGCAAAATTCTGGCCCCATAAAACTTGCTGGCCTGGAACCAGGGAAAGGTCGCAAAGGATCTTGGTGGATGATGATGTCACAAAGTAAATCTGTTCATAAGAGTTGATATACCATTTTCAAACGAAAAAAAAAAGTATTTTAAAATTTTGTTTTATAGTAAAATAATATTTTTGTTTTTATCGGAGGTCAAATTATGTCTTTAGTTGCAAGCTCTCTCCTATTCTTGGAAACCTTTACTGTTAAAAGTAACTTTGAGAGTTAGAGCAACATAGTTTACCTAATTTTTTACTATTTCAGGTGAGGATAAAGTTATCAAGCCTAGATCGCTAAGTGCACCCACATGGCGTGTTGACGTTGTGTTGATTACTGACTTTGTGAACAGTTCACTTAAGTAATGTTACCAAGCTATATGATTTACCAAATGAGCGAAAACAGCATAATCACCAGCGGTTTGTGGAAAAAACATCACAAAAAAAAAAGAGTACAAAATAAATAAAGTTTTCGAAGGAAAGCCAATGTGTACACAGAAATATAAGAAGTGCTAAACTAAATTGAGAAAAAAACAGCAATGGCACCTTGTCAGTGAAAAAGGGCTACATGTGGGAACAGCAACTGTAGAACATGCTCACACACACTCATTCTGTGTCTGTAGATGCTAGTCAAAAGTTTGGGCACACCTCTTTATAGATAAGTTTTCCTTAATATGATTATGTTCCATATATAACTTATAGTGACGCTGTCAAAACTATAAATTACACACATGGATAGACCAAAAGTTGAAGAAATCAAAACTATCATCTGAAACATTCTTCAGAGCAGGCCCCTTTTGCCTTGTTTCAGCTTTGCACACTCTTGGCATATTCTACCTTCATGAAGAGCCACCCAAGATCAAAATCATCATTTAGAAACATATTTTATCATAATTTTATGATAATTGAGAATTTTAGCATAAGCCTTTGGATCAAAATGTCTTGAATTATCAAAGGCATGCATTCAGTCAGGTGTGTCCAAACTTTTGATAGCTAATCTATACAGTGGACTCGACTTCCATGTTACAGTTCTCTACTTTCTCGGCTGTTTTGGCCTGAGCAGTTCTCTTTCTGGGTTTCTGCCCTCTAGCTAAGCCAGCTTCACGTAGTCTTCTTTGAATTGTTGATATTGAAACAACTGATGTTCTAGTGGCATTGAGCTGAGCTTGTATTTTAGGGGCACTTAATTGCCCATCTCGTAGGCTAATGACTCGAATAAACTTGTTCTCCGATTCAGAGGTCACCTTTGGCCTTCCTGACCTCGCTCGGTCCTCATGAGTACCGGTTTCTTCAACTCGTTTAATAGTCTTAGCCACAGCGCTTACAGAGACTTGCAGGGCTTTTGCTATTTGTCTTAATGTTTGGCCTTCTTTTCTTAAAGTAATTACAGACTCTCTTTTTTCTCTGCTTAACTGAGTGCGTTTTGCCATTTTTTATTCCCTTTACATTCAGAATGTCAACAATGGAGTTTTGCTGCTTATGTTTCTATTATATTATTTACATGTATTTATAGAAATTAACCCTCGTCAGTTTTAGTAACTGCTGAGGAAAGATTAACGGTTAAAGGGTAACATGATCATTCACTGGTAGGACATATAATAAAGACACTTGGGCAAGTCTTCCAATACTGTTACACACAGTACACTTCAAGCATAACTAATCAGGGCTTCAGAGAGAGATCCTCTTGCTTTTGTTGTTCTACATTTTTACATTTAACATTTTCAGTTCAATTCTCTTTTGTTTATCCGCCTATGTAAACACCAAAATTAAGTCATTCTACGCAGGTTTATAGTTGAAGCATAGTTCATCATAAAATCGGGGGTATTGAAACTTTTGACCGGTACTGTATCTTCTAGAAAGATGTCAAATGATATGCTGACGCCATCACAGCAGAGATGACGGAAGGACCTGAGGGGAAAGAACACAAATGAGAAAGCTCCTCATCAAGTTCTGACAACTAAATGACAAAATTAAGCCATAAAAAGTTGATTTGTTGATGATCTGACAATGCATCATGGACAATTAACATTTTATTAATTATTAGGTATTGTTGCACCCCTAGTAAACATTTATAAAATGCAGAAATTTGGATGAATTTCTGCTGGATTACAGAGAAGAGTAACTTCTAATGTTAATTTAAAGTGTTACAAAATAATAAAATAATAAATAGTAAGATCGTAGTAAAATAATAAAAAGATCAATGCTGACATTTTAAAACAGTAGCTCAGCATTGCCTAAATGTTCTGTTCCTCAAGTGTACAATAAATGCATCATCACAAAAATCACTCAACTGTTCAACCCCAACACTCCCTCATCCAAACTCACTACTGAGTACTGTAGAAGGATGAAAAGCCCCTGTCAACATGGTTTTTAGTGTTTAAAATATTGTTTTAATAGTAAAGATATGCTCTGGAAAAAGTGTTTACCGGTATTAAATATAAGAAATATTAATAGAAAAATACAATTTAATAATACACTCCTGTGCAAAAAAATGAGCCCAGCCCAAAATTTCAAAACATTAAGCTTTTAATAGTCTGAACAACAAATCACGATACAATTAGATAAAGTAACTTAGTATAGCATTTATTTTCCCTTTGATCTCTTTAAATGTTTAAGTCTTGTAGGTAAACTTGCTTTTAGAGAGAGATGAGTCAATATTTTTCCACTTAGCATTGATGGTTTCACACCGTTGCAAAACATTGCGAAGCCAGTTTGTGTTTAATGTGAGACCAAATATTTTCTGTGTCTCTGACCATATCTAAAAAGATCAGTAAAAAAACATATTTTGGGCTTGGCCCATTTTTTTTTTTGCAGGGAATTGTAGATAAATCCTCCAAACATTTTGAGCTACTACCTGTTCAAAACTACAGAGCCCTGCTGGTGACATCCTGTATAAATAAAAATAATGCGTGGCCACAACTTAGTAAGGCGTGGGAATTAGATAAGTAAGTAGTGGCCACGACTTAGTAAGGTGTGGAAATGATTTACTAAAACATGGGAACGAGACCCTAATGCGTGGCCACGACTTTGTAAGGCATAATCCCATACCCATGCCTTACTAAGTCGTGGCCACGACTTAATTATCTCATTCCCACGCCTTACTAATTCGTGGCCATGCATTAGGATCTCTTTCCCACGCGTTAATAAGACTTCTATAACTAAGGCCACCCAAGCTCTAGTTATGAGTTAGCATGGTCATATTTGCGGATAACGTGGAGAAATTTCTTGTGTTGTCGTATCGGGCGATACACCTGTAAAGTATAATTGCAGGGAACCCCTATGAGCCTTAATGTTAAGAGTGGAAGCTAACGTAACACTAATGCTAACACAGAACATGCACTAATAAGAATGCTTCAGTGTTTTACAGGTCTCCCTTGTAGCACTGATGCCCACCTCACATTGCCTTCATAATGTTTTGTCTGATCTAAAGGTCCATGTTGTCCATTGGTAGTGTTTTTCTTCGTCACGATCAGACTTGCTTTTTCTGACCAAAAAGCTCTCTCTCTCGTAGTGGTCTTTCTCCCAGGAATCTTCTCATCCTTCACTGATCTACTCATTCTAGACTCTGAATTCGTTTTTTTTTTTTTACTTTCCCTTCTGTTCCATCTCAGCATCATGAACCAATTTCATACCTAAACAGTAAACATTCACTAACGCCTAACAGATGTACTTTCCCACATTTTGGACTTTATGGACCACTGCTCCTTCACGTGCACTCACTGAGCATGCCCACTATCATGTTACGGCAATGGTTATCCAATCAAGGGCAAGTGTAGCTGGGAGGTTACATTCCAACCAAGTATTAGAAACCTTAATTCAATTAGTTAACAGGCCTGTTCCTGCTTAAAACCAGCATTTACTGGGTTATTTGTCATGTTCTGTAACATGAACATGACAAATAACGTTTTTTGTAGTGCAGCATGGTATCCTTCAGCCTCAATGGTCTGACAGAATTCATGATTCTATAGGCTTTTTGTGTTTTATCTATCAGTTTTCTCTCACTACAATGTCCAGCATGTATTACACAAACACGGCATACAGCCTCTGGTAATCCCCCACAGCACAGGGGCTACTAAATAAAGACGGAATGTTTGGCTTCTTAACACTTAACACTTTCTCGCTTTCTACTGCATTCACCAGCTAGACAGGGGAAAATACAGCCCAGTGCACATTTCATGCACTGTAGTTTTTCAAAAGCTCCTCCCACCTTCAAGATACATCATCAGAAAGGGCTTTCCTAAGTCTTTTAACTGGAAAGAAATCATAATGTTACACTGTAGAAGGTGAGTATGCATGTTTATGAGAGATGTAGCAATGTTTACATTATCCATTTTGACCATAGTGCCCCTTTACTCAATTCCTCAAACAGAGTTTCCTGCTGGACTGGAGTAACCGGTAGCTACACTGAGCCTCTGCACAAGACTGGATAGTCAGCCTACAGCGCATCCTTCCTGTGCAACCCATACAAAGCCACTAGCGACCACCCGTTTAACCCCAAAACAAGCAAAAGAGATCGTCTCGTTTGTTGGATTTTTCCCCCTCATGAGAACACACGGGATAGATTCCTCCAAACAAACACGTTCAAAACACATGTTCATTTGAGCGATGCCTGTCCTGCGAGTCGGAGACCCCACCAAAAGTTACAGAAAAGATACTCAAATGTGCTACATATACAAATAACTGCGGGCTCACGGACTTCATGTGCTAAATGTGGGGGGGTCTACTGGCCCAGTTACCAAACACTGCAACTAAACCATCAACTTAACCGCAACACACGACCCAGCATAAGAGCGTGCAGAATAAAACAGCCTATACTTACACTATAATGCAATATACACAGTGAGAGGGAACAGGCGGGTGATGCACTGAGGTGTTTATAGCTGTTAACGTTGCAAATGTTCACACAATCACTGCGTCTGAGTGCAGAGTGCACAGAGCACAGCGCTCAGCGTCTGTGCGCAAAAGATAAAACGCTGCCAGGGGGCGTTTCCTGCCACGACTTCTACTGCTGCTTCTTTAGGGGTTTCTGTGAAAGACCTAACAACAGTTGTTCTATTACTGCCACCTACAGTGCGGAGGTCTACAAATACTACTGGCCATATTATTATTATTATTATTATTATTATTATTATTAATAAGTGCATTTCTATAGCAATTTTCATACATGAAAATACAGTTTTAATATTGATATTTGATATTCATACATTCTTCATAAAATTTACACACAATGTAAAGGCCAACAGGCATTTTCAAATTATGTCAAAACTGACAAACAACAAAAATGTAGATATGAGGTTTTGTCCCGACAGCAGTGATATATATATATATACATATACATATATATATATATACACACTGCTCAAAAAAATAAAGGGAACACTCAAATAACACATCCTAGATCTGGATGAATGAAATATTCTCATTGAATACTTTGTTCTATACAAAGTTGAATGTGCTGACAACAAAATCACACAAAAATCATCAATGGAAATCAAATTTATTAACCAATGGAGGCCTGGATTTGGAGTCACACACAAAATTAAAGTGGAAAAACACACTACAGGCTGATCCAACTTTGATGTAATGTCCTTAAAACAAATCAAAATGAGGCTCAGTATTGTGTGTGGCCTCCACGTGCCTGTATGACCTCCCTACAACACCTGGGCATGCTCCTGGTGAGGTGGCGGATGGTCTCCTGAGGGATCTCCTCCCAGACCTGGACTAAAGCATCCACCAACTCCTGGACAGTCTGTGGTGCAACGTGACGTTGGTGGATGGAGCGAGACATGATGTCCCAGATGTGCTCAATCGGATTCAGGTCTGGGGAACGGACAGGCCAATCCATAGCTTCAATGCCTTCATCTTGCAGGAACTGCTGACACACTCCAGCCACATGAGGTCTAGCATTGTCCTGCATTAGGAGGAACCCAGGGCCAACCGCACCAGCATATGGTCTCACAAGGGGTCTGAGGATCTCATCTCGGTACCTAATGGCAGTCAGGCTACCTCTGGCGAGCACATGGAGGGCTGTGCGGCCCTCCAAAGAAATGCCACCCCACACCATTACTGACCCACTGCCAAACCGGGCATGCTGAAGGATGTTGCAGGCAGCAGATCGCTCTCCACGGCGTCTCCAGACTCTGTCACGTCTGTCACATGTGCTCAGTGTGAACCTGCTTTCATCTGTGAAGAGCACAGGGCTGGTGTTCTCTGGCAAATGCCAAGCGTCCTGCACGGTGTTGGGCTGTGAGCACAACCCCCATCTGTGGACGTCGGGCCCTCATACCATCCTCATGGAGGCGGTTTCTAACCATTTGTGCAGACACATGCACATTTGTGGCCTGCTGGAGATCATTTTGCAGGGCTCTGGCAGTGCTCCTCCTGTTCCTCCTTGCACAAAGGCGGAGGTAGCGGTCCTGCTGCTGGGTTGTTGCCCTCCTACGGCCTCCTCCACGTCTTCTGGTGTACTGGCCTGTCTCCTGGTAGCACCTCCAGGCTCTGGACACTACGCTGACAGACACAGCAAACCTTCTTGCCACAGCTCGCATTGATGTGCCATCCTGGATGAGCTGCACTACCTGAGCCACTTGTGTGGGTTGTAGAGTCCGTCTCATGCTACCACGAGTGTGAAAGCACCACCAACATTCAAAAGTGACCAAAACATCAGCCAGAAAGCATAGGTACTGAGAAGTGGTCTGTGGTCCCCACCTGCAGAACCACTCCTTTATTGAGTGTGTCTTGCTAATCGCCAATAATTTCCACCTGTCTATTCCATTTGCACAACAGCATGTGAAATTGATTGTCAATCAGTGTTGCTTCCTAAGTGGACAGTTTGATTTCACAGAAGTTTTATTTACTTGGAGTTATATTGTGTTGTTTAAGTGTTCCCTTTATTTTTTTGAGCAGTGTATATATATATATATATATATATATATATATATATATATATATATATATATATATTTATATATTTATATATATATATACACACACATATATGTGTGTGTGTGTGTGTGTGTGTGTGTGTGTGTGTGTGTGTGTGTGTGTATAGAAGCTAAGGTGGTAGGAAACCTGTATATTTTAAACCCAGCTTCTGTTGAGTAGCTGTGTATGTGTGAATGTATGTTTATGCACATTTTATGTTCATGATCAAATTCTCATTTTCGGAAAACAAAAAAAAAACAAGAAATTGGAAAAAAACAAATATTTGCAATAGAAATAGAAACAAATATGTTACAATACACTCCCTGATTTGGCAGCTAATGATGGAAGGAGCTGCAGTGAATAATGAACAGGACAAAAGTAATGAATTTCAGTAATGGAGTGGAATAATAAGAGTTGGTGTATTATAACAGAAAATGTGAAAGATAAAATCTTATGCTTGTTAATCAGGTGGCAGAACCTGCTAGAACACCCCTCTGGTGGACCTCCATCTTAAGTCCTACCACCTTAGCAACTTATATATGTGACAGAAAGTTACACACTAGAGGGCATGTGTGCTGTTATTCTGAAGAATTTTGAGTGTTCTATTAAAAAAAATTCTAAAAAAAAAAAGCAAAAAAACTCACCCCCCCCCCTCTCTCTCTCTCTTTCTCTCTCACACACACACACACAGACACATACATAGATCATATACATGTCACTGTTGTTGGAAGAAAACCTTGTATCTTCAAATTGAGAACTTTACAGAAGAGTGAAAAACATACTGTACTTTTAATGTAAGTCAATGGAACCAGACTTTTTTCCCCAAGTCATTTTGGGCTGTTTCTTTTAGTCCGTTCATCATGAAATTTACAAACAATGTAAAGGCCAACGGGCATTTTCAAACTATGTCAAAAACTGAAAAAACAACAAAAATGGAGATACAAGGTTATGTCCCGACAGCAGTGATATATATAGAGAAAGAGTGGAGTGAACTTAAATTTCTATTAAAATATTTTCTTCAATCTGGAAAATAATGATATTTCATGATGTATAAAATACTACTGTCCTAGTACTATTACTACTACTACTAGTTATTACTACACATTTGTTAAGTTTACTGGTCTGCACTGCTGTATAATGTAATGTTGTATATGTTTTATCCAATATCCAACATAAGAGAGAAAAAAAAAGCTTATTCCCAGGGTTAATAGGGGGACAGACGAAACTAGTCCTCAGAGTGTCTATGTTACCTAGTACACTTATATCCAAAAGTTGTGCTTTTCCAGTAGAACAAGACAACAGGGGTAAAGGTGCAACAATACACTCGGCCCACAACTCAATTTGATTGCTGATTCCAGGATTACGTTTTGATATTCATACATTCTTCATAAAATTTACACACAATGTAAAGGCCAACAGGCATTTTCAAATTATGTCAAAACTGAAAAACAGGTTTTGTCCCGACAGCAGTGATATATATATATATATATATATATATATATATATATATATATGTGTGTGTGTGTGTGTGTGTGTGTGTGTGTGTGTGTGTGTGTCTGTGTGTGTATAGAAGCTAAGGTGGTAGGAAACCTGTATATTTTAAACCCAGCTTCTGTTGAGTAGCTGTGTATGTGTGAATGTATGTTTATGCACATTTTATGTTCATGATCAAATTCTCATTTTCAGAAAAAAAAAAAAAAACAAATATTTGCAATAGAAATATGTTACAATACACTCCCTGATTTGGCAGCTAATGGTGGAAGGAGCTGCAGTGAATAATGAACAGGACAAAAGACAAAACTTCTGGTTAGACGCAGAACTACAGGGTGGTTCACTTAAAACTAAAATCTTCAGGAAAGTGATATGTTGCCTTTTTATATATATATATATATATATATACACACACACACACACACACACACACACACACACACTTCTTTCATCATACCAAGAAACTAAACATATTTTAAAAAGTTTTTTTTATTAAATATTATATTAAAACTTTTTTTTACATCGTATCTTAAATCATGCTCAAATCACTGAAATGCCTATGTAATTAGTTTACTGCAAAATATCATTTTCTTAAGAGCTTTTATCACAAACATGAATAATTCTACTAACATTTACAGGACAGCTTCATAACAAAACAAATGCAGTTTAAAACAAAGAGAGATTTTCAGCAAGTTGACAGTTGATGTACAGTGACTTGAGTGACTGATTGTCACTCTGATCATAAGGCACTGAGGTTTTTGCATCTGGACTTTTGTGAACAATTTTCTGATAAAAAATATTTTAAAAATCAAAACAAAACTGAATACACATATCACTGGTCCTCCAACAGAAATGTTAACGGGAAAAGTCGATGTGGATAGAAAAGATTACTGTGCCCTTTTATTGCAGACTATTTATTTGTATTTTTAAGCTTGTGTGTGCAGACTTAACTGCAAATATAACTTCAAATTCAGGCCTTATCATGCTTCACCCACAAACGCATTCTTTCATAAAAAACCCATGTAGCATAATGAGAAACTAGTACAGCCCAGTTTTTATCAAAACACAATGCCTTATTATTTTAAAAGTTATTTTAAATATTTATTTTCTGTGTATAAAAGACCACAATGACAGGATTGACTGGATGTAGTTTTTTGACGTACAATTGTATTTTGTGGATGAACATCTGACAGATAAACTATGAAGAAACTTCAGCTATAAGCTTGTCCAACTTAGCTAAGAAGTTGCGAAGGACACATTTGTGGGTGTAGCTTGGACAGGTTGACTGCAGCTGTTAGTACAGTCAGTCATACACTTTGGTCACCATGGTGCTGAGATACATTTTAATGGATGTTACAGAGAAATCGCTTCGTATCCACAAGTCTTTTCAAAACTCAGGACACACGCCCATCTCACTTCATACAAAATCATACTAAAACATGAGCAAGTGTTTTGTTTTATTTGTTGATTTTCGTTATTCAAGGGCAGCTGGTTGAATTCAGGAGCAGAAGTGGAATTGTTTTTTGTTGTTTGTGCATCTGTGCATATGTAGGCCTATGTTGCACAGATTCTTCAAGCAGACTGACCCCATGACCCTATGGCCTTCATTTGTTTGTGCTCTCATTGCCATTGCAAGGGTCAGGGTTGGGGAACAGCTCAGGGTTTTCTGCTAACGTTGCACGGATCCTCTTCTTCTCCTTGAAGCGGCCTGAGTGAGACACTTTAACGTGACGTCCTTTTGTGGCTGTTTTGTCCACGATGCGTTCGAGGCGGGCGTTGAACTGGCTATCATCGGGTGGTCCAGCAGTTCCGGGTGTGGCCTCGGCATTGATGTATTCTGCAGGGATCTCATACAACACCTTGGGCTCGGATTTCTTCTTGCGGAGGAAGGTCAGCTTCCACCATGCAGGGGCAGGCTCTGCCGTAGCCATGGGGAAGGAGAGGTTAGGCCTGCAGGAATGAAGAGAAAGAGTGGAGTGAGGTGGATGAGTTGAACTCAAATTTCTATCACAATATTTTCCTCAATCTGGAAAATAATGACATATCATGATGAATAAAATATTACTAGCCTAGTACTACTAATGCAACAATACACTCGGCCCTCGACTCAGTTCAATTCCTGATGCTGGATTCACGTTTCGATATTCTCACAATATTTTGAACAAAAGCCAAATGAAGAATAATGATGACTTGCAAACAATGCAATTTTATTTAATGCTATAATTGGTCCATCCCGAATGTCCATTCTCCACTATGCAGGGTCATTTTACTTAAGCTGGGAGAATATATTTTGTTGTGGTGGACACTAAAGATAGGTGCTGTTTAGATGTCACTTAAATACTGGTTTGTACAATAAGATTTTATGTACTTATATTTTAGTGTGTACAGGCATGTGTGGTGTGTGTGGGGACACTGGCCCCTTATAGAGTTTGGGCCAGAAGTGAGAGTAGCTGAACTCAGTAAGCCCTGCATGGCATGCATCCTAGGGAATTTTCTCTTTTTGTGAAAGGGAAGAAAAAAGAGGAGTAGCATTGCTTTTAAATTGTTCAACTTGAGTCAAACGTTTCTGGGAGTCTTCCACAAGCTTCTCACAATAAGTTGTCGGAATTTTGTCCCATTCCCCCTGACAGAACTGCTGTAACGTCAGGGGGAATGGGACAGTATTGTTGGCCTCCTTGCATGCACACGCCTTGTGCCCATACATTTTCTATGGTAGTCCCTCTTATAGCAAAGCACCCCCACAACAAGATACTGCCACCGTCAACCTTCATGGTTGGGATGGTGTTTTTTGGCTTGCAAGTTTTTTGCATTTTTTGCAACAAAGTACGTTCATCTCTAGGATGCAGAACACATGTCCTTCCTGAATGGTATGATGGCTGCGTGGTTCCACAGTGTTTGAACTTGGATATTATCGTTTGAACAGATAAACATGCTACCACCAGGCATTTGTAAATTGCTCCCGAGGATGTACCAGACTTGTGGAGGTCCACAGTTTTTTCTGATGTTATGGCTGATTCTTTTGATTTTCCCATGATGTCAAGCAAAGAGGCAAATAGGCCTTAAAATACTGCCACAGGTACACCCCCAATTAACTCAAATGATATCGATCAGAAGTTTATAAAGCCATGATATAGTTTTCTGGCATTTTCCAAGCTATTTAAAGGAATAGTCAACTTTATGTATCTAAACATGTGACCTAAATGTATTTTGATATATTGAATTATAAGTGAAATAATTTGTTTGTAAACATTTGTTGAAAAAATGGCTTGTGTCTTGTACAAAGTAGATGTCCTCAACAACTTGCTAAAACTATAGCTTGTTGACATGGAATCGGAGGAAGCCGTAAATATGAGATATGCAGAAAAGATGATGGACATTCCTGTTGGACAAACCTCCACCTTTGGCTTAGGTTATATAGCTAAATGAGAAGCCCAATGTTGTGAAATCCCCCTTATTTTGTCATGGTGGAGTGAATGAGATGGAGTTAGTGTGATTTCTGTTAATATATTAGATTTATTCACAGTGAAGACTGAGAGAAGTTCATGGAAGCATAAAGGTTTGGGTTTTCATAAAAGAGACACAGCAACATATACTTATTCACATATGTAACAGAGGCACCATGTTGCAGCACCTCTGGAGCAGCCTTGCTGAAAAGAACAACATCATTCCCCAGCGAAAGGACTGGGCCATTAGAACCTACAGTCCTTAGACACCACATTAATTTTCCTTCACTGCTTCCTTTGGGAATTTAACAAGAAACCTTGCAGTTTCTAACTGAGCGCACTCACCACTGAGCTGCCGCTTGAGTTCAAAGTCAAAATTGCTCATGGAGGTTAGCAATAAGAAAATGGTTGTAGTGTGTAAGCCGAGATCCCAGAGGGTGTGGGCAGCAGCTAGGCTAATGTTAAGATCTGGGTCTATGGGGTGACAGTGCTGCTGAATTTTTCATTGCAACTCAATAGGTGCCATATGGCTGAGCTATGCTAAGGTGGAATCTGTGGAGCTCCAATTACGGGCCTCTAATTTCATACCTACATACAAAAGCCAGGCTACATGCTAACAGGATGCTAATGTTGATCTGCTGATCTGACCTAATACAAGGTCCTAGTTAAGTTAAGGTCCCGTAGCCTAAAGTGAAGGTAGTTAGTAGCCTATGCTGTTGCCTATATTACCTGCATAGCTCACATTCATGGCCAATTAACCACTGTTCATACTTTGACCTAATAAAGGAAAGTAATAACTCAATCAGTCTAAGATAAGAAACTGAGTGTTGCAATGTCATCTTGCTGTATGTGACTCATGCTGTACTTTGCAGTAGCTCTTTCTGCTTGAATAGGCCTCATAGAGCAAAAGGCAGGTTAGGCTAAGGTTAGTCATGTTACCATCAGAGAAAGGCTGTTGCTGGGGAGTTTGTTAGGGCCGTAATACAAGCATAAAAAAAAGAGCAAACACACCTTCAATCTCTCTCTCTCTCTCTCTCTCTCTCAAACACAGAGAGATAAAGCTGCAGCATTGTGCCTGTGTCTATTCAAAGGAAAGGAGTAAACTGGCTATGGTTGGTTGCTCAGCAACAGAGCGGTCATTTCCATACTGTATGCTAATATCTAAGGTCTGTGTGTTGACTTTTGCCCTCTTTCATGTTTGTATGGGAACAGAGAGAAACTAGGGGTGGCACTCTTTCAGCCTTCAGGCCAAGAGGAAGTTACATTTAGTCTCATATTAAGGCAATTTCTCATTGTCTGTTCTATACCAGAATGTAGACAGAGGTTCTACGCACAAGGATTCTGTGCCTTGTTTGATGAAATTCACTGCTGGAGAGTCCCCAAATTTGTTTGCAAAAGACAGATGCAGTTTATCTTGGTCGCCAGGTCAACTGGCATTGGTGAATCATTTAATTAACCATCATTTAATAAAATATCACAATATTTGAAACAATATACATTCTCCTCTGCTAGATGCTCTAACTAGCAAATTATTGACTGGGAATAAGCTATCTGATTATTTAATAGTGGCCTTTTTCCTAAAAAACTTGAACAGCAGTTCAGCTTTGGTCAAAATAATGCAGTCCAGCATGAAAAGCCATGAAGAGACTATATTTTATAATACCAGGTTATTTTAATAGTGCTGGCAACATGGATACCTAATTACATTTAATATGGTATATATCTACTTACTGACATAAATTCTGACCTCAATATGGACACAGCTTTAACCATTTTGCTTCATTTTTGTGGATTTAAGAGGCTGGACCTGCGTCAGCCCACACTGAGTAAAGTGCAGGGCACATTCACACGCTACGCCTGGCTTGCTTTCATTCATACCCTGAAGGTATGAATGACTGACAGAAAAAAAGAGGTCAAGGATTAAATGGTGCCTTTAATATTTGAATTAATGTGGTTATATTGACAGAGGGGAAGCCGTGCTGGATCAGCATTTGCACTCTGAGATGACTGACAGAATGGGCCCCAATTTCATGACGTAAGTAAAAGGTGAAGTTTCTGGTACAGCGACAAGAAGCATTTTATGGTCTGTTAGGACGTGTACAAAATTCAGTTTTGCTTCTTGTCTGAAGGTAAGAATTTGGGCCTGTCTTAGATCAGTGCACACTGGCCATGTCTACAGAGCGTGCCATTGACCCACAGGGAAATTTTGATTTCATTCAAGTGGTCTGATAAGTGCGACAGGTTATGATAAGGCACAGTTGCTTCTGTGCCCGAGTTTCGATGGCCGTCTATCTCTTAATCACATCCTCTGATCTGACTAATCATGCAAATCCAATAAAAACAGACCTGGTCAGGCCACACAGCCATTAAACACCACTCTCTGAACTTTACAGCATAACTGAGCATAATATACAACTAAACCTTTCAGAACACTGTCTCTGTAGGCTACAATAAAGATGTTTGTGAATCTGTGTTGCAACCTCCATGAGGTTTAGCTTTATTGTTGCTGCTGGATGATGAAATGTTCCTGTATTAAAAGCAGTTTTCTAGAAGTTGAGATTTGAGATGAAGTGAGAGATGAGTTCATTTTAGATTCAGACGTATCTGATTTGAAGTTTGAGAATACTCCTCCCTAAGCACAAATCTGAATCAGTGGTGCACTAAAAGGATCCAAACTTTGAGAAAGGCGTTGTTTTACAAGCACTATAAAGGTACAGCCTTTCTTCTGTTCTGCTCTGCACCTCTTATCTCCAGTGAGATAAATCCACTGTAAATATTTACTAAATGTGGGGCAGCAGAAAGAGATGAAGTGGAAAGCGTCTGTTCAGAAGAGATTGCGTGGAAAGCAAGTCTCGTTGACTTGCATAATGGCATGGACAAGATTTACCTCTTATTTGAATATGAATCTTTGGGCAGGTTCTCTGGATGCAGGTGAAAGGCCTACGCTAAAGCAGTTTTTAGTGAAGAATCATGAAATGTACGGTAATTTAGTTCAAGATTACAACTAAGTTGTGTCTGGAAGGCCACCTCCCTGTAGAAAACTACTCGACCACTTGAACACAGAAATATAGAACATGGCTTTGTTACATCTGTGAAGGTTTTCAGTCATCCAGGTCACTGAACTGTGATAAAATCACCTTTAGCAAAACATATACAGATCATTAGAACTGATGAAGCCCCTTAGATGACTAGCAAAATGGCAAGGTTATACTGTAAGTTTCATAAAAATGACATAGTGTTAATATTTCTACTACTACATCTTTCAGATGTACCATATTTGGATGGTTGAATTTATCTTTGTTCATTAAATCACCAAGGCCAAGGCCACTGGACACTTATAGCATGCAGGTGGGCTGGAGCTGGACACTGGTGTTGTTGCACAGCACCACTGCATGGCTTACAAGTAAGTAACTTTCTCCATTCTGAATTATTTTCCAGCGCTTTCGTGTCTGATTCACCAGAACTGAATGTCATTGGGAATCCAAATAAATTCACTTACTTGCAATGTTTCAACTGTGGTACAGTCTAGTTTCATCTGACTATCTGTTCTTAACTTCATTGGAAAGTAAAGATTAAACATTTTAAAGCCAATATGAATCAGAAATCATAACACATTTTCTAGTGTGCCATGACACACTTCCAAGGAAACATAATATTATTATCGGAGTTATCTCAGCAGTTCACTTGATGATGGGTGGAGGTGGTGGAAGGGGGAGGCAAAACATGTTATTAATTAATATTATTTTCCCTGCCCACTGGTGAATAGTGATGTAATTCAAACTCAGACTTTTAGAGGTGGGCAGAAGTCACAATATTGTGTCAAAGCTTATGACAAAAGAAGAATTTTGTCTTATAAATGAAATGATCAATTAAGCTTAATAAGACCAAGGACCTGAACTAATATTTTGATTTCAGGTAGACTTTAACTATTTAGCTCTTTCCATTCTGAATTATTTCCCAGCACTTCATACTACGATCATCACCAGAGCTGAATGTTTTGAAAATAAAAATTAACCAACCTTCATGTACTTACTGCAGCAATGTTTCAAATGGCCTGATTCGTTATTTGTTACTATTCTGAGCTTCACTGGAGATATTTTTTCTCACTCATTCTGCTGTTACAGTTACACTTAAACAGGAGTCTACAAATTATAATACTTATGTAGAGTCATAAGCAAAAGTTTGGGCACTCCTATATATTTTGGAAGTGAAAGTAAGTTAACACATCCTCTACAGAGAACACACTTCTGCCCATTTTATTGCACAAATACAGTTTATTTGCTGAATTTAGCATATTGAACAGAATGTGCCCTGTGCAAAGGTTATAGCAAATTTCATGTTTAATTTAATTTTATTTTCAGTGTTAAACTCAGCAAATTAACAGAAATTGTGCACTAGAATTTCCAGAAAATGCCATATTTAATTGTGTTCCCTATGGAGGATGTGTTCTATTTTTAGTTAGAAAATCAACAAAATGTAATTTGACCAGACATGCCCAAAATTTGCATAGGACTGTAATTGGTATTATAATACTTGCATAAATGTACAAGTACTCTGCATGTGCTTCCACTTGAATAAAAGTACGAAAGTACTTGCTTGTGAATGTACTTATGTATCACAAGTATAAGTACTTATTAGTATACTGTGTAATTGTAGATACCAATTATGTTGATGATCAAGCTGTGTGACTGTAGACATGATTAACTAACATAGTTTTTCATGTCTGCTGTTATAAAGGGCTCCTTGTTCATTGCAATAATACTATACAAGCTCTATTATAACTTAAAATACTTTTACTTCTGATACTTAAGTACATTCAAAAGACATTGCTGAAGAAAACATAGACTATTACTAATACATATTTTATCAATAGTACTGCTTTTATTCAAGTACATAAGTATTGCAATTTGTATACACCACCAATTTATCTACTGCAGTAAAGTTCTGAATTTGATTAAAATTTTGCGGTGGCAAAGTATTTAATGTAAGTCAAATAAAAGAGAAGTTTTCTTTACTGGTTTACTACTTCTATTTTTATTGAGAAATGAAGAACATTGTGGCTACATATACTACAATATTTAGATTACATTTTAACATTGATTACATTCAATGGCCTAGCTCTGCTTTGTCATCATGTCAGGACAAGTAAGCCGTGAGTGACTAGCGGCACTTTTTGGCTAGGTTAAAGGCTTACTTGAGGCCGTTAACGTATGAGCCTCTTTGGCCAAAGGTCATCAGAACAGCTCTTCTCTCAGCTTTGTTTTAGCAATTCATAAAATTTAGTACATAGACTAAGAACCAATGCGACCAAATGAAATGATTTATTATGTTTTTCCCCGTGTATGTTTTGGACTGTGCTAATGTCTCCTTTGGTGGATGCTTTCAGTAAGGTCCTCTCACCTGTGCGAGTGAAAGTGCGTCACGGAGGCTGGGGTTGCGATCGTCCCTCCAGAGGTTATTGGCCTTTAGTTCAGTCCACTCAGCGCTGTTTACAGTCAGGTCCAGTGAGTGCAATCATTGCCCTGTGCTGATGGCTTGAGACCGCTTTTTCCACCTTTTCATTTGTTCTCGTTCTCTCCCTTGATCTCTCGCTCTCTCTCTGGTTTCGTGTATACTCTTCACTCTGACAACCAGGTGCAGCTTAGCAGGTGCACACTCCTCCTACTGTATCACATACACACACCTTCGCACACAAATGTGCTCATGGCCACACATGCACACTGAAAGAGGCTCCACCTCCCACTCGTGCTTGAGTAAACAGGGCTGTGGTGACATGGTGACAGCAAATGAAGACACAAACACAGAGCCACACTTAGCAGATCTCATCTGTAGCCCACTAATTAGCTCTGCAACACCTTTACACAAGAACCTACCAGTCACTAACACATAACCACAATGACCAGTTCAGTCAGACCTCTACACAGAACTATGCTCACTAAAAACAGTCCAGCGTACACACCAAATGGGCAGGGGTTGATCTACTAGGCTAGACACAGGTCATGACACTCGAGTAGAAGATGGTACAGTCAGCGAATCAGCTTTGTAAAAGGAAATTTTAATGATTTTTCACAATTTCTGCATAATGAAATGGTTACAGTGTAAACAAAGTAATTTAGATTGGTCTGTTATGAAAAGCTCTGTTCTAGACAAACTTACCAAGTCAGAATTGTCCACAGTGGTGGTGATAGGAACCAGACGTCCACTGTGTTTTAATTCCTCTACAACGTACAATACAGAAAGTTATTCAATTAAATAGTTATGAATATACAGCCTGATATCTAGGACATTGCTTTACAATAGATTTGAGATAAGGTTTTGGCTTAAAATCTTAGCTTTTTGCTTTTACTTATGTAAACCACACTGAATTGCCGTTGTGTACGAAATGTGCTGAATAAATAAACTTGCCTTGTCTATAACATTTTTAACTATTCATGATCATTGAGGTACATGCAGGGCATTCCTCAACACTCCCAAAGAAATTTACTATTATTAACATTACATATAAAGACTTAGAACACATGTATGGGTTCACTGGTCATTTTGGATGATAAATAAAATTGCTATATATGCATTGTAGACATTACAACCCCTGGTTCCTATCACCATAAAGAAATTTTGCAAATTAATCATATCAAAACACCCTAAATGACTTTGTTTACATATCAAGGACTGGTTTATGTTGAAATTCAGAAAAGAATTAATTAAATGTGGTTTGTCACATGCAAATTTAAGACATAAGTTATTGGCTCAGATCTTGGTGCTAAAAGAAAGTCTCAATGAAGAAAAGATGGCAGCGTCCAATACACATAATTTCTAGGGGTGAGTGCACCACCGTACAAATTCCAATCTGTGCTAATGCTAATGACTTTCTCCAGGTCCAGTGTTACCTACATGCTTTATACATAGACCTACATTCACTAACTTAGTCATACCTGCACTGGAAAACACTGTAATGGAATGTGTCATATTTAAAATACAGCTCATTCCATGTCAACTCACCCAGAAACTGTAAAAATTAGAGCAATATTTTCAATTTAATTTAATCATGCAAAATTTCAAAGCTGTGATTCAATTAGTTTTTATGAATTTTTGAGAACTAACTCATTTTTACATGTCTAACATAGAACTAAATTGGCAGTGTCTAAAGCCGCATAATGTGCTATACCATGTACTATGCATATTACATTAATAAATGCACTACTAATAGTGGTGCATTATTTTGACATACTATTTAGTATGATAGCTGTGTGGGTTTGGACAGAGCCACTGACTGGTTTAATCTCACCCCTACATAGAACTGTGCTAATGATCATACACTTCCAAGATCAGTGCCATTTAAAAAAAGAATTAACAAATCAATCTAACATAGAACTACATTCATTAGATCAGTCTTATCTGTACATAAAGCTACAGCTGATACAGACTTTAGATCTGCTACATCTAAAATATAGAAGCTGTTGAATCAGATGTGATAAAGCTTAATAATATTGTTAGCTGCTATGCTAATACCTCACCTCTGTCCAGCAGAGGGCAGTCACTCACTCGCACCAACATAAGCAGTTCTACAGCACTTCCAGTGCTGGCACAGTGCCCTGGCATGGGTATGTATGTGGAAGGGTGGTCAGTGACCAGTGACCAGATTGGTGCCAGGGGTCAGATTCAGGCTATTAGCCGCAGTGTCTGCACTGTTGGGGACCACTGAAGCTGGCCTGGTTTTCTGGCCCCTGAGTGTAGGCATGCACACTCATGCAGGCCAGCCAAGACTTCACAGTGAGAAGAAAGGACACTGCGTTTGATAAAGCCAAAAGGCTTCATGCAAAAGGGAATAAGTATGAGATGGGGTTGCAAGAGCTTCTTGCGAAGATTTATGTTTTGTTTTATTTGACTTTAACTGAGTCTCACTGACATCTGTAGGCATTTAAGAGGTATAATAATTTGCACTATTTTTATTTGATTCCCAGTTAGTCTTTTTCTTATCCCATTGTTTTTTATCCTGTTGTATCCCATAACTTTTCTCTTCACACAGCAATGACATGACACCCAGCCGGGACTGGCCATCTCCCTTGCCAACAAGGCCCTGCTGCAGGCAGGCCTGCAGGAGGTTTTCTCACAGATCTGCCTGCTGTTGGGCTTTTGGCCAGGAAAAGAACCAGTACAAGGGTGGTAAATGTGACTAACAGCTAATGTAGAGCTGTCATAAAGCAAGTCCAATTGCAGACATGTTTGGTGCTGGAAGTTTGCTTCTTTAGTTCTGTACTGGAGCTACAAGGCTAACGTAGCTAACAAGTATGGATGTTTAAACCTTGGCACTGGGCATGCTTATATCATCATTATTTTGATTCAAACACCATTCAGTTATTAGGTTAACTGCTGAGTTGAGTTAATAGTAGTTATAATAAATGTTTGTATTGAGTAATCTAGTTGCTGAGTTAATGCTAATTGGTGCAATTACTTGCTAGCTAGACTTCTCTTATGGCTGCAGTGCAAAATGAATGGAGAAAACCTTGGACACCAAACATGTTTTGGCTGACAGACTACATTTGGGCTAAGTTGTGTTAACTTTTCATTTTTTTTTTTATTTATTGACAAATGTCTTTCTTTAATCAGCTACATTTATCAAGCAGTTAATCACTTTGGAACACATTAACCTCTTATATATAATGCTAAATAAAATAACAGAAATAATTACTCCTCAGTTTTGTCCAAGATTGACAGCTGGAATGATGTACTCAGTACTGTGGAAAGACCACCAGAGGGAATGATGCTGCCACTCTTAGGTTTTGTCTGCCACCTTGTGGATGAACCATAATATTTCAGCTTCTCTCTTTAGTGCAAGACAAGTGGGCCTCCTCATAGGAAGTTCCCTTCAGCCACAAGGTGGCATTAAGGAATAAGCATGTTTGTCTGCAGACAAAAACAATAGATTTTATACACACTCAGAGTCACAGCACATTGCACCCAGTTGTGAGGAAGAACTAGACATAAATGGAGGCGGCTTACGAGAGAAAAATAGAGACTAATGCTTTTGACTAACAGCTCCAGGTCTGAAAGATCTAGTGAATTTCTCATCATGCGCACTCCTTTCATCCTTCTTTCCTTTTACACTCTTCACTACATTTTTTCTGCCCCGGCCATTTCATTTCTTTGTTTTCAAGACAAAAACAATCTCACACATGCACTTAGATGGACACACAAACACACACACACACACACACATTATCTATGATCTGTGGTCACTGTAGCTACTCGTTATTGAGGGTGGCAGAGGAGGGACAGACAGTGATGATGTCCATCAATCAACACTTCTCTTTCTCAACTGCCCCATTTCTCTCTCTCTCTCTCTCTCTCTCTCTCTTTCACTGTTTTTCAGACAGCCTCCCCTTAAGTTTACTATTATGGCAAAATCACAGAAAGTGGAGCTTTGCTTCAAACCTTTGACCACCTACAGTCTTAGCAAAACAGTTCTACATAGTATCAAATAGAGGTTCAACAGTGGAACCCATTTTGGTGTTTTATGGGACCATTTTGAAACAGTTCTTTAAAAACACTATACAACATTTTTTTCCAATATAATGAAAAAAAGAAAAAACATTTAAAGTAGCAAAGAACCCTTTAAGCAATGTTTCTTTCAGTGTTCTTGGTTCTATATGCAAACATTAGCTTTCTCAGTGTACTAATACAGATCTGGGATTTGTTTATGCCATTTACAATGTGCTCTATAGGACTGCATAGACTGATGAGAACTGACTTTAGATCAGTATTTTCACTTTAAGATGCTTGATAAACATGGACCATTGCCTTTAATAAAAACTCTTGAAGAAATTCCACTCAGTACACACAAGAAACGTTACACAGTAGCTCACAATTCATTTTGTGCAATCACACAGACATTCATACACAGAGAAATTAAAATGTATATTTACATATCCGGTACGTACTGTATCTGTGCAAGCCTGTCAAAACAGTGAATAAAGTGAGTGAACACCCACAGTGTTGAATTCACTTTTACAGTGTCCATTTGTATCAGCTAGACTTCTATAAATACTTTGTGAGCAGGTTTTTCAGACATGGATCAAGTCTAGTCTTGGACTAAATTACAATTCCAATGTTGTTTCATGACATTCATCCCATATAATCGAGTTTTTTGCTTAATCTCTGGGAAACTGGCCCTTCTGCACTGTAAATGTTGATTCACCTCTATGGATGCTCATTCCTAAGCTGCCAATTCAGCACTGTAGCTGTTCATTTAACAATGGATATTTTGCTGTGTAAGAAATTGGCTAATTTGTTAAATATCATTCTTCATATTAATGATAGATGAAAGTCCAGTCTAGTGGTAGGAAAGAAAATGTTTTAGAGTCATCTACACTGTTAGAAATAAAGGTACTGTGCAGGTTCATTTTTCGTTCATTAAGGTACAAATAATGTAAATGTAGCCTCAAAGGTACAACAGTGGGTTTACAGTCTAATTGTGTACCTTAAATAAGTTTTTCCAGGTGAAAAGTACATATTTGTATCTTTTCATGACCTAATGCTTTAAAACAGAACAATCAAATAAAAAGGCTGGAGACGAGATGGGGTGTGTGGAGTCAGTACAACTTAAAAAATATAATTTCAATGGATTATGGTACAATTATGTTCCCTGACTAAAGGTACTGAGATGTACCCAGTGACAACAGGGGTACTGCCCCAGTGATAGTTTACTACCTTTTTTCTGCAAGTGTAGACTAGA